TCAGGGAGAAACTTGAGAAGAACTCCCTTTGCAGCATCAATTATACGATTAGCAATTGCTGGTGAAACCCTGGCAGCATAGGCTGTTCCTCGTATCCTTTTTATTTTTCCAGGATTTAGAAACTAGGAGGAATTGATTGTTTTTGAGTCTATACCTTCAAAATCACAAAAATTATTTGATGCAATCAGTAGACTTACCACCAGTGGCCTGAGTTGTTTAAGGTTAGGACAACGAAAGAAAACTTCGCCACCACCTTCTGGAGCCATACCTCGCTTATTTATTTTAAATTCCATACCATCATCAACAATTAGAAACTTCTTCAGAGTGGGCATTGCTGATAATTTCACTGAGTCCACGGATGGATCGGTCTGTAAATAAAACGAGCTGAAGTAATCTAACTCTAACAATAACAGACAACCAGAGTGTTAAAGAATGCAATACCTCATTATTTGTCACACCGCGCAGGATAATACTTAGTGGCTTTTTACAGAAAGGACCAAGTCCCAAAAGAACTTCAAGATAATATCCAATTCCTCGTTGCTTACAGCATTCATGTTCTAGTGTTCCCCCTATCAACAATCCTGGCTGGTAATACAGCGAAGTACCAGTCTCGTTAACTTCAATTGTTGATCCATTGGTTAGTTTGTCAAGTAGCCGGATCAAGTTGACTTCAAATTCTGTAACACAAGATTACAGTGTGGCAATCAGTTGCAAGTAAAATATCTATAAAACCTTCTTCTTTTCCTGGCTTAGTCAAGAATATGGACAGGCTTCGAAATTTTGTGTACATGTCTCGCAGATGCCCACATGGGATCAAATGAAATGAAATACTCACCTCTTAATCCTGGCTCGTTGTCATCGCTTCGAATTCCCTTTACTCTTACTGGCTTTCCGCTTAAAGTAGACAACAGAAGTCTTTGACGCAGAAAGTTGCAACCATCGTATTCCAAAATATCTTCTCGACGAGGAGCCATGGTTTGCAATAGGTTATAAACACAACAACAACATCAACAACAAAATGAGGCTGCTGTCTGCTCGTGCTCTCCAAAACTACCAACGTTTAAATCACGAATCAGAAGCACCGAAGTCCCTGGTACTAGTCCACAATCAAAACAATCAAAGTAAAAGAATATGAGATACTTGTTTTAGTATTTTTGAAATTTTAAGCATTTGTATTAACTTTCTTTGATGAATGTTTCGTAAACCTTAAATCTTTTGTAATTTTTCTCGGGTCTCCCATTTCGATCTTGATCAGCGGTGAACCTAACCTCATCACTATCATCTACCAGCACACCATGGTCAAGGGTTCATCAATGTTGTAATTCGAAAACAGAACTATTTGCATCGAATTTTCGTGGTAAAATTTGTTTTACCCCAAGTTGTGATTCGTAGGCCTAATGGCATTAGGTCGTCACTCTAAAACTCTAATCGGCTGGTAGGTAAACTCGATTTGCAAGGTAATTTTGGGTCTGCTCAACTATTTCTTCTTTGCTATTCAGAATCAAATTTAAATTAATACTGAAGTGCTAAATTCCCTTTTTTTCACCCTGTCGAAGTAAATTGCTGTTAAATGAAACGGAATCAATGATCCAAATTTAGCCATTGATCTAGTCAAAAGTACATTGCACATTGTACAATTGTCGGCCTCTCTTTTTTCAGGGTGGTTGTTACGGCCTTCGCCTTCACAGGTCTCTACTTCTCCCGACAATCTATCAACACCAAGCGTGTGAACCGCATGCAAGAAGAACGTCGCAAACTCAGAGAAGAGAAATCAGCTCAGGAAAACTCCTCTTGAATTGAGTCCAGCGTAATCATGGCACAGTTACCTCAATTAGATATGCAAAAGATGCAGATGGTTCAGGAGTTGGAAATTGAAATGATGTCAGATATGTATAATCGAATGACACAATCTTGTCACAAGAAATGCATTCCTCCTAAATATAAAGATGCAGAACTTGGGAAGGGTGAATCAGTATGCCTCGACAGATGTATAGCTAAGTACTTAGATATTCATGAGCGCATTGGTAAGAAACTGACACAGCTTTCAATGCAAGATGAAGACTTTGTAAAACGAATGCAAGGGGGTGAGCCACCAAAAAGCTGAAGACTACAAGAGCTTGTTTAATTACTAAATTTAAATTCCTGTGGAGAATAAGTGTGTTATAACTATCTGTTTTTCAAGCAATTGCAACGGAATATAACAGAGAGCTGGTAGTATTGAATGTTAGTGAAAGTTTACTTAGTGTGAAAATGTACTGTTGTGAGAAAGCTATTGAAATTTTGATCGTATGAGAACTACAAATTTTTAATCAAATGTATTCAGATTGTAGTAACATGCCTAGTCCCTCTTTGTTAAGTGTGCCATTACTGTCTTGAAAACATCTGCTAAAGAATATCAAGTGTCAGTTGGTGACTTGTATGTTTTCTAAGCAAACAGTGGAATAGACATGAGGAAAACATAAGTTCTTTGTTATTTTCTTTATCCACCCATCTTTTAATGAGGTGAAATTTTCATGAGTGGGAAATGATGGTGGGTAGTCGAGTGCACCAGTATGAATTATTCCACGCAGACGTCGAATCGACACTGACGTTTCTCACTGGGACAGAATACTGGACGTTCAGGGAGAAACTTGAGAAGAACTCCCTTTGCAGCA